AAGTGTTTTAGTGGTTCCTGCTAACCAGCCCAGTGAAGGGTCAAGTTTCTGTTGGTGTGGCGGCAGAGTTGCGGCTCAGGGAGCATCAGGGGTCGCACACGGTTCCCATCAACTGCAGCACTGCTTGACATGGAGAAATGTGTGTGCACTGTAAATGTGGGCGAGTGCATTCAAGTGTAACTGTATGGGGCACTTGCTTCCTTGTAAAGGCGAAAAAATAGTGGATATGTATTGCTAAAAAACATAATAATGACAATAGCAGTGATCTCTGTACAGACAGTGACCTACTGTTTTATGTGTTGGCATTAGAACATGTTAATGATTGCACCATAAAGACAGTGTTTATCTGTAGGTTCAGGCAGTTCTTAGCTGTATTCAAAGAAGAAATTCTGATGTCGGTTTTTAAACCAGTGAGATACAGCATCGTCAGCCCAATAGCTACAAGCTTACAATCCGAGTACAATCAGCTGTATTGAAAGCTTTTGAAAAAAGAGCTTCCTGTTGCTGGTTATTGTTTCAAGTCTTCATAATATCCTTAAGTTCCTTTTTATAGCCACTCAGTGAGTCCTGCTATTACAAAATGATCCATTTATAATTATATTAGGGTTTGGTTTAAGCCTGACTGATATAGCTTGTAAGACTGCTCAGTTAGAAATATCCTGGGAAAGCATAAACCGGGTTAATAATCATTATTGATCATTTATGTGGTGTTTTTCTAGGGTAGATGTTTTTTTTTGTATCAAGAGAGTTGTTTAAATGACAAGCTTCACTGGTTTTGTGTTGGGAGGTTGTACAATGACATTGTCAGGCTAATGCATGCAGCAGAGAAAATACTAAAAGTACAAACAATGGTTCCCAAATAAACTGAGCAGAAACTTGAGGGGGAAGGGACAAGACACTTCAGTTCCTCTTCACTTTGTACTTCTATGTAAGGTATATCACACACTTCTCTACAGCGGTAACACAGACTGAGGGCAGTTTCTATTCAAAGTCACTGGAGGTGTAGTAATATGTATTTTAAAGACTAATCTGGACTAGTGAAGATTTGACTGCAGGCGTCATGTACCAGTAATGGCAAGAAAATTAGTCTATCCATTTGCTTTGGTTTTTAAAATGTTTTCTCCTTTCCACCAATTAGGGTACTAGTTTCTGTTCCTGTACTTGACTCTAATTCAAAAGTAATTTGTTTATTACACATAGTCTTAGGCCTAAATACAGATAAAAAGTAATACCGCTGTATTAGAGAGATACTAAAAAAAAACAGACAGATTACGTAAATGTGAATCATGCAAATAACTTGGTGATCCAAGGTCTGTGCTGTTCCTCTTCTAAGCCGGTTACATTTCAGTCCTAATCAATGAAGAACCTAAAAAAACAACTGAGAACATTTAGGAGTGTAAAGACTTTGCCTCTTTTTGATTGGTCCCAGGAGTCTACTAAGGAGCCACAGGAACTAAAAGTTTATTCTGCACATTACAACTATGTCAGATACAAGGTTTTAAACCTTTTAAACTTGAATAACTAGATAACAAACAATGTATGTATAAAATAAGTTACCAAAATCACAAAAAGGAAGATAAAAGGTGTTCATCATATTGTTCAATCATATTCAACATCGTCGCTTAGCGTGTTAGCATGCTAATCCTTACAGCAATTGCTAGCAAGGCTAAACAAATACATGTTAATGTGTTTCCTGATGAAGTTCCACTTTCAGCTTTCTTAATCGTTTTGATGTTTTTAAGCTAAGTTTTGTGGGAAGTACAATTGCATTTTATTTCTGTACAGTTAATTTTATATTATCACCTATCACCTTCTATCTATTACTGCTAAAGGTTATTCAGTCAAACCATCATCATCTTGTGTTTTGAAAGCAGGCAGTTAAATCGTGGCAGGATTATTTTCCCGCCTTGTTGTTGTTGTTGTTGTTGTTGCACATCACACATCATTGTGGGCCCGATTGACAAAAGTAGAACCATTTCACCCTCTGAGTTGAGCAAACAGCATTTACAGTTCATATGAAGCACTGATGGACAGGATACAACATCGGAAGAGGGCGACACCAGATCGGTTGCTATGGAAACAAGGACTGATTCATGAGTTGGGGGTCTTAAGAAGCCCAGGAATATATTTGTACATAGGTGGTGAGTGATGAGTGTCCAAGTTCAACCCGCGCTCTGTGTTGGTGGAGACCAGGAGTGTTTCTGGCAGATCCTGGAAGTTCAGTTTGTTGTTGGAACAACATGAAGGCAATCTGCGATTTTCAAAAAAAAGAACCTGCTGCCAACAATCTACACTCCCACTTTGAGACAGCGGAGAGAATTGATTGCTCGCACTTGTTCAAGGCATTGTGAAACATGCAGATGATGCTGCACCTAATGATTGCAGATAGACAAACATCATTTGTGCCCATGGGTATAATGATGTTGGAGAAGATGTGAAGGTTCCCAGAAACATGAGCAGGGTTTTAATGTCAGCAGCCCTGGCACCATACAGTCGGTGCACAGAGGCTGCTCTATGTGAACCAGTGCTTGTGTCAAATGGCCGGAAATGTCTTAAATTGTCAGGAAGAGAGAAGCCTGGACCAATAAGAGGTGTGTCATTATTTTTGTATGTAATTCATCACTCGACTTCTGCAGCATCATTTGAAGCATACGACATAATCAAGGTAGTTCACATAGACGTCATTTTATAATCCAATATTACTATTGTTAAATCATATATGACCACAGCCTGTTTGTAACACTACCCTCTGTATAAATAGTTGGCATTCATTCTTTCTGCATGTACACTGACACCAAGGTCATGTCTGAGGAGAAATTTACAATGTAAAATAATTACACACAAATTGCACATGGTGATTATTTTGAGGCTGATTCTGGGTCAGCATTATTAATTAGACAATTCTAGGCCAATAAAATAAAACAAAATGACGAGTTAAGACTTTCACACTTCAAAATGACAGAAAATGTAATTTAATTCCGATAAATGTGATACAAATTTTGATTTCTAATTAGGATTGCACCGGGGGCATTTTGACTCATGACTTCAGTATTTCTAAAATCCTGGCTATGGCCATGCATACATAAACGTGCATCCTGCCTGTTTCCAGTAATTAACCCACTTTCCAAATCCCTTCTTGTATTAGCATTTAGATTTATGTGGATTTTTTTTCAGTATCATGCTCATTTTCATCAAAGGCTGTGTGTCTCAAGCTCTGTAGGGGAGTCAGTGAGCTCAGGGATCATCTCCGTCAGCTTCCTTCAGAGCATTGCATGAGCAGAGCCGCACCAACATACTAAAATGCATATTACTGTTTATGTAAATGGTTAAAACCTCAACATGTTGGGAGGTAAATCAGCTCAGGGTAAGGCCACAGAGAAAACTGTGTCCTTCCAGCATATTCGTGTTTTCCCGTTCTATGAAAACTTTGAAATATTTATGTGTCAGACAGCTGAAGTGGTTGTTATTTTAAAGTACGCATGTGAAATATAATATAATAGTACAGTCTAAATATAACAAACATATATATAACTTTTTTTTTTATTGCTTAAAACAGAAACATGGCTGTTGTTCTCTACCATGTGTCCAACATCAGTGTTATTGACTTTACTGAGAAAACAGGCACAGAAGACAATGCTGAAAGCCTAATACAAGCCTCTTCTGAAGAGACGACATAATCCACGTCAGTGTTTACAAAAACCTTTAAGAGAAACGGGCTGAATCTGCAGTCAGCAACACTTCCTGCTGACATTGACTACCTTCAGCGTCACCGAACGTCTTCTATGACACAAGTGCATGTAAACACACATTAGCATATTTTGACACCCCATTGAAACTACTGATAACCTGTGATTGTGACGACAGTTGCTCAACTTCCATATCTTCTTTTCACTTTTTTAAAGGATTTTTGCTGCCAAATTTAAACATCTGCTGATATATTAACTTACTATGAGGAAATAGGAAGAGTGTGAGAGCAGGCAAGCAAGAGAAACAAAGATTTCTTGTGACTTCCTCACTTTACAGCATTTTTATGTCAGTGTGTGTGTGTGTATGTGTAGCTTTTCTGGTAGCAGCTTTGCACCACTGCACCTGCTCTTTAGGCTGCAAGCACGAGAGAGGAGATGCATGTGAAACAGCTAGACAGGAAGAAGCTTCATAGGTTACTGAGCGCGACAAAAGGTTGCAGTTTGGGTCGATTGACGTCAGTTTGGTCAAGGACAGGGCATCACCGACAAATGAAGACAGAAACTGGCTAATCTGTACCTGAAACAAAATCCACATTGTTGGTAAGTTTCAGTCAAATCTTAAAACAATGATTAGTTTTAGGACTTCAAAATGGGAAGCAGACTGCTTCGTGCTCTTTAGCACAACGCTGTTACCTTTAAAGAACTCTTAACCTCTTCATTGACTTAGTGAAAATAATAATGTCTTAGCAGCTGTTCCAAAATACTGTATTGGTAGTTATTAACAATGTTTCTGTTGTTATTTATATATATTCTTTTAGTACTAGTGCAGGTGTAAACCAACAAAACAGCGTCTGTTTGTGTGTGAACATATGTGAGGGTGAGAGAAAGTTTATACTTACTTATCATGTATGTTGGCACACTGTCAGTAAGCCAGGAAGGCCCCCTCCCCAGTGTTAATACTGTCTATTGTGAGCGTATGCAGGGTGGATGTGGTGAGCATTTAGTCTGCTATGGAACTATTTAGGGAAACTTTGGAACGGAAAGTGTGTAAAGGAAAGAATAATAATGAAAGCAAACAGAGGTACAAGGCATTACTCAACAATAAAACACACGTCAGAGCTGCTTGCTGCTTTATAGTTGAAATTCAATACTTGTTTATCAGTCATTCTTCTCCTCAAAGTGTTTCTGTGTACTAACTGTCAAGCTGCTATGGGTTAGATATAAATCTGTCGATTAGGATAACAGCAGTGTGGGTGAATGATAGTAAAGAAGAGGTTAAAAAAAACATTTTTCTTTTCTTCTTTTTTTCTACAGGTGGCCAGTGGCTCTGACCAAAACGGGAAGTAGCAGGCAATGAAGAGTGCAGACGAATGGATGCCATGTTAGAAGGGTGGATAGAGACAGAGCCTCTCCTACACAGAGGACAGAGAGTCGGGCTCCAGTGATGATCCTCTCATCCTTACTCCGCAGGAAGGACCACCCCGTAACTGGAATACCACCAAAAAACACATCTGCACACCTGGACGTACCCCTGCACCAAGACACAGCTGCATATTCTCTTCAATCTGCTTTATTTACACTCTTTAAGAACTCGCAGAGGCATCTATGAGAGCCCAAAGGTTGAGAAAGTTCAGTCATCTTAAGTGGTGTGAATGAGGACTATATTTGTTGCTTTCGCTCTGAGGGGTTTTTCATCTCTGTGCTCAGTTCTCCCGTTTCACACCAGCACCACAGAGACCAGGACATAGTTTTAACTGGGAAAGCAGAAAGCTCTGGAGCAGAGTGGAAAAAAGATTGTTCGACTGGACTCGATTTCTCAGGCACCATGCAGTCAGATGACCTTTTCATCCGCAAGTTTCGCCGTCAGAACATGCGGCCGCCTATTGCCACTGTCAACTTTGACCCCAAACGGGAGGCGAGTGTCGTGGAGTGGCCGCCCAGGAGGGAGGGTGATGGAGCTGATGGGGACAGCCTCACTCCGAGCCGCGTGGGGCTGACCTTGAGGTCGATGGGCCGGGGCCACATCATGCAGAGAAGTAACAGCGATGTAACCTTAGGAGACTTGGACTCCTCCGGGATGGCATGTGGCAAAGCAGCTCGGGCGGGTGGTGAGAAGGTGGGTGCGGGGGCTCAGGGGGACTCAGGTGTGCTGCTACACAGGGAATATGGCAGCCTGTCTTCACTGGAAAGACAGAGTCAAGCCCAGGAGCCGGGCACAGACGACCAGGGGCCCCTGAGTCCAAATGCCCTCCGCTTCAAAGACCCTTTCCTGCTTTTAGGACTGCAGGGCAACCCTCCAGAGCCTGATGGATTCTTTCGGGGTTTGGCTGTTTCCACAGGGGACTCCCCAAAACCTGCCAAACCGCCGAAGCCTGAAGGTCTAAGTAAGAAGACCAAACCTGTGCCCCCCCAGATCCCTCAACCAGGTCCATATGACAACATTGGGGGTGGAGCTTGGGTGAGAAACTTTGCCCACTACGATGTTCAGAGCATCCTCTTTGACCTCACCGAGGCGGCCACAAACAGAGACAGTATTGGACGGAAAAAGAATATCACCTCAGGGGCTTCTGCCGCCTCCCAGCTGCGCCCCCTCTCCCAAGCCACCCCATCCTCACCTGCACAGGGCGGGGGAGGCAGTGGGGGGAACACAGACGACCCTGAGCAGTCGCTGCTGCTGGACGAAGGTGATGGCAATGACAATGAGCTCCTGCTCAGCTGCCCCCACTTCCGCAATGAGACTGGGGGAGAAGAGCAGGTAGGTCTGGGTCAATCTCAAGGGAGGCGGTGGTCGAGCCTGCGGACCCCCAACGATGCAGTGTCGGTCCTGGAGGAGCCCAGAGAAAGTCACGTTCAAACACAGGGCAAGAGCAACTACTTTATAGAGCATGCAGATCTCGGAGCCCATTACTATCGCAAATATTTCTACATGAAAGGTACGTGCAGTGCAAGTCAACTTAAATTTGTGCTGATTCTGTTTATGTCCAGTCAATGGAGATAATAATATCACAGGGATAAAAATCAATTACTGTCCAGCTTAATAAGATGTGTAAGTACTCTGTGGTGCTATTCAATCATGGTTTAACAATCACTCTTCAACTCTGAGCAAGTCTTTATCAGGGTGAAAAAGATTTCTGATCTTATAATTTAGGGACTGTGCAAAAATTATTAGAGAGGAGGTCAGAAAGGGGGGAAGGTCATATACATTTTCTTTTTTTCCTGAAGGGAGAGGGTAGTCTGACTTTTTTGGGAGGGCAGCGGAGCCTCTTTAAACTTTCAGCTTGGAGTTATATTCTATTTCAGCCTTCTCTAGTGAAAGTTATGTATAAGAAAACATCACAAAAACAGCTTTAGTGTGTGCCATGAGTAATAAAGATGCCCTTTGGCCATATGCAGAGGACAACAATCCTGTCTTTATACTAGGGCTTTATTTTTCACATAAAAAATAATAATTTGATGGGTGTAATAACAATTCATTTAGCAACTTTTTAATTCAAAGTTATAGTGGCTATTTTTTGTTATATTTGCCATAAAAGTGTTGTTTTGATGTTAGTAGGAGGTTATTGCAGAAAAGGGCACGGTTCAGAGAAAATATGAAAAACTCTGGGTACAGCTTGCTTTTTTATAAAATAAAATATAATTATCTTAAATATCTTGATAATGTTCGTACAGTCCCTTATGAGGATCATGTTTTTTAAACTCCTCTATTATCGTTCTTCAAAGTTATATTTAAAGTATGTGACTGTATTGTCATCACAGAACACCAGAATTTCTTCGGCATGGACGATCGCCTCGGCCCAGTGGCTATCAGTTTCCGTCGGGAGGAGAAAGAAGGATCCAGCGGAGCTCAGTACAATTACAGAATCATCTTTCGCACCACAGAGGTAAACCTACACTTTTCTCTCCTCAAAGCTGTCCTCAAGTTTAGTGTGTGTAAAATTGATTCGACTGGATGTGATAAATGTGAATCGTCTCCTCAGATGAAGACACTGCGCGGTTCCATCTTTGAGGAGTCAGTGCCTTCTGCTGCTCGTCACACGACCCCCAGAGGCTTGTCTCCCAAGAGGCTGCTGGAGTTCATCATGCCTGAACTGAACCTGCACTGCCTTCGCTTGGCTTCAAACTCCCCGAAGGTCCGGGACACCTTACTGAAGCTGGATGAACAGGGGGTGAGTAAGGTTACGTCTGCTGACACTAAAGACTACTGCCAATGTCAGACAGAAGGCTTTTCAGGATATCGGATACAAATAGCAGCAAAAAGGTCTGACTGGAGTGTCTGAAAACTGACATAAAGTCTACACCTACTGTCTACAGTGATAAATCAGGAGTGTTTAGATGTGAAATTGATGTTATTATATCTATATCTGTACATATGTATATTCTTCTCTCAACTACTGAACCACTACCACTTTCGCTTCACTTTTGAGTCTGTAATATACTGTATGTCTGCATTTTTTCCTAGTGTACTGTTTTATTGGGAGTAATTGCCATTTTTTGTTGTCCCAAATTGTATGTACAATTATTTACAGACATACATTTTAATTTCAAATTAATGATTAATCTATGCATATTTTTCCTATTTTTAATCATTTAAAATGTTTAGTTCTTTGTCACATATTCCCAGAGTGTTGTCCACAAAACCAAAATGATCATGGACATTTAAGTCCTATCACCTAAATACAAACTTTATTTTTATGACATTTCATTGTAGAAGCTACTGAACATTTAAACCTACCTACATCAGATAGCCTTTAGCTCCACCTTTAAGGTTAACTACTTCAGAAAAGGTTTGAACAACAGCATTCAGAAGCCTGAACTCTGGTGTAAAAGCTGAAGGAGATTAATAGACATTTTTCAAATAAGCTCTAAATATAATATAAACTGTAAAGTAAGATGTCGAATGATCAGGAAACCCCATTAGCTGAAAAGTGCTGGGAGCGTAAAAATACGGTATAAATATACACATAATAGTACACATAATAGTGTGGTGAGGATAATTATAAACTCTGTGCTTCTTTATCATCTATTGCAGCTGAATTTCCAGCGAAAGGTTGGGGTGATGTACTGCCGGGCCGGGCAAAGTTCAGAGGAAGACATGTACAACAACGAGAGCTCGGGGCCGGCATTCGAGGAGTTTCTGGATCTGCTCGGGGAGCGGGTGCGCCTGAAGGGCTGGGAGAAATACCGTGCTCAGCTGGACAACAAGAGTGAGCTGAAAACACACGCCACACCCTGATCCATTGGCTGGATCTCACCTTGTCGCAGGACCATTATCGGAAGGGCATCAGTGCACCACTGAAAGCCCAAGATAACTGCTATCTAGCCACATGTAATCTGAGTAATGCCTGCAAAATAGCATAGTCACTGCTGATTATCTCCGAGCTGTTTTCCCTTCAGTGAGCCGCAGAGAACAGCAAATGGGACAGATTTCACCCTGACTGTGACAGTTTAGTCTTTCATTCAGACTTTGACTGATTTTGCTAAATCTCTTTGTGTGATCTGTGTGTTTCTGTGTGTCTTTTGCTTGTGTAGCGGACTCAACTGGGACACATTCCCTCTACACGCGCTACCAGGACTATGAGATTATGTTTCATGTGTCCACTATGCTGCCCTACACAGCCAACAACACACAGCAGGTAAAATAAAACCATGTATGTTTCAACAGAGATGTGACATATGATTTCCATTTCCTCATATGTTTAACCTCTATTTCTAAAGAAATTGCACCAGTCTTGATACAACATTCGTTACCCTAGCTCTGTTCAGACTGTCATGGTTTGGTAAGTGCTTTAGAAAAGGCTTCTGTACCCCGCAACAAGCATGACATAAAAATCCTGCCCCCCAGTGTTTACTCCCACCATGAAGGTATTCACTGCCGCCTCTCAGGCAGCCATCGTGTTCAGCTGACTGTCAGCCCTTTATGTGCAGCGTGTGGTTTAAGCCTGTTTGCTGTCACAAAGAAACAGGACATGTCATACTAATATAGATTAAAGGTTTAATAAAACAAAACATGGTAGTGACAAAGCCCTGATGTATGTCTTTAAACTGCCCACTGTTTGGTGGCAACCAACAGCTTGGGATTTGGTAGTTTTAGGTTAATTATTTACTGTTTATTCTGTCTTGATTGAGTGTTTTTTAAATCTAGTTTCAGTTCTAGTTTTTTTTAAGGAAGTTTTTTTTTTCAAGTCATAAAAAGTTCCCTGATGCTTAATCAATGAACTTAAAGTTTCAAGAATCTGTAGTCTCCCAAATACAGTATTTTTTAGTACTGAGTTTTGCTAACAAAGATAGCAACAGCATGGTCATGACCATGCAAGGTTTTTTTAAAGAATATTTATTTTATCTTACTTGACTTGAGCACTTTGTTCAACAAGGGTTGTTTTTAAATGTGCTTTATGAATAAATTAATTTGATTTGATTGATTTGATTTAGAACTACTTTTCAGTTAACACCTTTGATTTTTATTTAAATTATTTGTTTAATTGGATCCCCATTACTCTCCCTATGGTCTATATTCAAAGAGCTACATATAAATAACACAGCAAGTTTACACTACATACAGTCAATAATGTAGTAACAAAACCCCACTGCATTCAACAACAAAATTACATCAGTACCATACACATAGAAAATATTAAAATAGAACCATTTAAATGGGTTGATAGTAAAATTAGATAATAATAATTTCAGTTCATGTGAACATCCCTACTTGACCTATTTTGCTCAGTAAAAGGTATTTTCTATAGCAGCTTCTTAAAACCTTTATGTAGATTGTTGAGATATAAAGTATATCAATCAACGGTTCCAGTGAGGTCTTAACCTAATAACCTGGCTCTGATTCTGGCCTGCTTGTTTAATACATTTCTCTGTGTGTCTGTTTTGCTTTGTCAGTTGCTGAGGAAGCGACACATCGGTAACGACATCGTGACAATCGTGTTCCAGGAGCCAGGCGCCCTGCCCTTCACTCCAAAGTCCATCCGCTCCCATTTCCAACATGTCTTCATCATCGTTCAGGTTCATGAGCCCTGCACTGACAACACCTATTACAGGTCTGACTTGATCCCATCTGTTACACTCTGTTCAAAATAAACACATCTTTTCAACCTCCTCCTCAGGTAGATATCTCCCAAGGCAATAAATTCATGACCAGCCAGTCCCAGGAAGTGGGACATCCATGTTAAGACGGGTGTTACTATGTGCACTCTTACACATTTGTATTGTAGTAGTTATGGGCAGCTCAAAGCACAAATCTGTGTGCTGCTGCAACAGATTCAGTGCAAACGTTTGTAATTCTGGAGAGTACTACACAACTCTCAAGAACTGGAAACAAGACATAGATCAAATGTCTCTGCGGTACCATCTCTCTCACTCTGTCATTCCTCTTGTCCTCTCTCCCTCTCAGGGTGGCTGTGACACGCTCGAAAGACATGCCATTATTTGGACCACTGTTCCCTAGAGGTGCCCGATTCCCTCGCTCACTTGCCTTCAGAGACTTCCTCCTAGCGAAGGCAGTGAATGCTGAAAACGCTGCGGAGAAGTCTGAGAAGTTCCGCTCTATGGCCACACGCACACGACAGGAATACCTGAAGGACCTGGCCGAGAACTATGTGACCACCACACCCATTGACTCCTCCACTAAGTTCCCCCTGCTGTCTCTGGGAGGCAAGCGCAAAGACAAGCTGAAGGGCTCCAAAGGTGCCGAGCTGCACAGCGCAGGTGCGCTGGTGTGGGCTGTGATGGTCAGCGGCGGATATGAAGGGGAGGTGAGAGAGCACAGGCTCCCCTGCCTGCTCGGGGTGTCGGCTGAGTCGGTGGTGCTCATTGAGAGGTGCACACGCAGGGTGGTGTTTAACTGCTCCTGTCGAGATGTCATCGGCTGGAAGGCAGTGACAGAGACTAAGGAGGGGGGGCCCTGCTTGGATATCTTCTATGAGCGAGGGGAGTCGGTGTCAATCAGTGTGATGGAGAACCAGGCGGAGGATATACGAGAGGTGGTGCAGAGGCTAGAGGTGGGTGTTTGTGTCCGGTTTAGAAATTTTACCATGGGTGCTTTATGCCTTTCTGATTCATTCATCTTCTCACCTGCAGCTGATTACCCGGGGCTGTGAGGCTTTTGAGGTCACCCCCCTGCGTGACGGAGTCGGCCAGCCCGGCTTCCTGATGAACGAGGAGGGCTTTGTGACGGAGCTGCAGAGGTTCTGTTACGCTGAGAGTGGAGGCCTGCAGCTGTGGGCTCGTGTGGTGCGGCTGTGCGGACACTCGCTGGTTCACCTGAGTCCTGAGGAGAGGACCAGGCTGCTCCGCACTGCACACAAGATCCACATCACTGTCATCCCACCGGATGAGAACGGCAAGCCACGCAGGTGGGTGAGGCTGCAGATAGGATGAGGAGGATGAGAGGGAGAGAAAGAGAGTGAGAGAGAGCACTAACAAGGGCACGTTTGGGTCAGCAGACACAGGGTGAGACTGGAGAACTCATGGGTATAAAGCATGCTCCAGAAAGTGAAGAGTAGTCCCAGTGAGGGGGTTAGAGAGAGGTTGACAGTAAATAAGAGGGAGGGGTTAGTGGGACAAGTCAGAAAAAACAAGAGAGGTGCTACTTTGGGGTCACAGCTCATTCTGCTGTTGATGACGGCCTGCAGTCAGTGTCACACCAGCTGGCTAACAACCAATCAATCCCTCTAATGATCTCTAATCACTCTGGCACAGGCTGTCCCACTGTTACCAGCACACTTCCCATTCAGCTGAGGGGGCAGAAACAGCTGTGGACAGACTTGTTAAAATAAATAAAAAAGACAGTATTAAACTGGACACGGCTGCAGCTGTGAACTTTAGAGCAACATTTCAAAGCTGGCAGCAGAAGCATCTACAGAGATACCCCCCCACCACCACCCCCCGTTTATTTATATTTCTGAAATGCTTGTTCTGTGACAAAAAAGAACTCATTGTCACAAAGATGTAACAATTCTTCACAGGAAGTGGTAGCTCAATGATTTCAAAGGAATATAATAGAAAGACAAATATAGCCCTTTTTTCCCATCTTTGTTTTTGGCTTCTAGATTAATTAATGACTCAACAGTGCAATAAAAAGCAGGACAGAAAAGAGAGCTAAGCATGTTGTTGTTTTGATTTTCTGCAGAAGTTTCTCTGAACTGTACCAGAAAGCCATCAAGGATGCAGAGTGTAAGCCTGGCGAGGATCAGTCTGGAGAGGCCTGGGTGCTGGACGAGAGGGAAGAAGAGGGGGAAGAAGAGGAGGAGGAGGAGGAGGAGGAGGTGGTGGCGGAGGAGGAGGAGCTGGAGGACAAGCTGAAGGCGGGTGGGGTCAATGAAGCGGATATAATGGAGGTGCAGGAAGAGGCCGAAGAGGGCGAAGGGCAGTCGTGTGATAAAGGGCAAAGTGAAAGAAGTCACAGCTCGTTCCTCACACCGGCCAGCTTACCTTTGTTACGGGCCACATCTCTGCAGGACCAACCGGCCAACCAGAGCCAGGAGGGCAGTGCCTCGCAGCTCACACGCAGCTGCTCTTTGGAGAGACAGCCATCCTACACGGATACATGTGATGGGTGAGCCTGACATATGCGTGTAACGGAAAGGCATTATAGAGAAATAGATAATAACAAGAATCACTGCTTTAGATGATGTTAAAATCTTCATAGTTACATCTGCAAAGTGGGAGGTAAGAGGGGCTCTTAAATCATCCAACATGGCTGAAAATATCCTCAAACTGAAGCTGACTCATCACAATTTAATCTCAGTCAGTGCGTCACTTTTCCTGCAAAGGACAAGGCACAGGGCAGAGCAGGACACTAAGCAGTGTGTCACTCTGCAGCACTGAAGTGTGTTAACTTAATGCAAAAGTTTTAAGATTATTTTTCACATTAAAAAATTCAGTTAGATTTTCCCTTTACAGATTAAAAGCTTTTTTTAAAACTCAGTACAGTAACTATTTGGATGGACTCACACTAGATTTGGAACTCTTTACTAGTAAAAAGTGTTTCTCTTTCAGACCATAATAGCTGACAACAAGTCAAATAAATGACAACAAGAAAGCACATTTGTTTCCATTAAACAATACTTCCTCATCCTTTTTAGTATCAAAAGAAACACAGCAGGACATGTATGTATCTGCCTGACAATTCATTTTAAACACACTGGTGGGTTTTCCCCCTGAGAACGCTAAAAAGCAGCTTGAAGAGGAAATTGTAAAAGAAATATTCATGAGGATAATATTAAACTCTACAACTCTACTAAAATGAATTTGACTGCTTTTTATTTTCACGCAAAGCAGAACTGAACAATCTGACCGCAACCGCATCAGATATGATATTTCTGATAGATGATTTTGTGAGTGCAGGATAGCAAACATCAATCAGGCCAAAATCTAAGCCATCCTGGAGATTACTTGTCTAAGTGCTCCAGTTTCAGTTTTGACCTCTAGATTGGATAAAAAATGTCACGAAGCATCAACAGCAGATTTGCTTTGTGTTTTACCCCACCACCATCACATCTCTCTCTCCCTGGCTGGCGGACAGGCACGTGTACGACAACGTGGGGCTGAAGGGGGAACGGCACATCTATGAGAATGTTGGCGAGCTGAGAGACGCCACACCTGATCTGATCCTGGCTGTCAAACCCAAGGTTCCCCTGGAGGACGAACAGGTGACAGACTGAGACGGAAGGACATCTGAGTGGTTTCTCCACAGTGCTCCATCCCCTCTCTGACAGTGTCGTTTCCCCTCTGTCTCTATCTCTGTGTCTTCAGTTCATGGAGGCTGAGTTTGGCGATGACAAAGCTTCGGCGAGTGACTCGTCTTCCCGGCTTTCATGTGTAGACCGAGCTGAAAGGAATTCACGAGCCCTCAGCCTTCATAACTCCATCACCAAGAGTAAGTACTAGCCCTATTCCTGCTGATGTTTTTTTAATTAGACAATGAAATGCATATAATATTTATAATATATTTATATATTTATGATCCCTCTAACAAAAGGAATGGTGGCTGCATGTAAAATTAAAAAAATGAATGAATGAATTAGGAGACAAAGAGCACACAGAGATATTACTGACCCCGATTATGTACTCAAAATAAAGCTCCCCTCTCAGACAAAATAGCTGACACGACTGCTCAAATGATGCCAAAATGGAACAATTACACATGTTTGCAAATCATCTCTGCCTGATTTAATTCCTTTTTTCCAGATTTTTTCCGCCTTAAATCCCTCTCTTCATTATCCTCCCTCTGCTCCCCACTGCATCCCCTTTGTCCCTCCTCTTTCATCCACGCTGCCCCCTATTCTGCTAATCTAATATCACCCCTGCTCTGCTGCCACCCCCTGCCAGAGCTGGGATAAAAGGGGGACAGATGGGTAGTGGGAGGGGTGGAGTTTTAGGCAGCCCCAAATCAAGGAGCCCCTCTTACACCATCTGTTCTACCTCCACTGAGACTATGAGACTCATCATTTAGCTGCTGTAAAAGCAAACTTGCTCATCCTCTCATAAGATTCTTCTGATTTTTGTGGGGGCAGCCTCTACAGCCTCTGATTGTTTTATATTACATTCTTTCACAGGAAGTATGCAGATCGTTAAAGTGCATCCCAACTTTTTAAACTAAAAGATTAAATTCAAGGCCTTAGTAGATCTCAGAAAGGAATTATTGTATCATCTTGAATGTCATTTTTAAAACATTTTTTATCAAATTTGCAATTAATAACTTTGTTATTCAAATTATATTTAGCTCATTGTCTTTCATCTACTGTATCCGTCTGACCTGGTGTCAAAAAGACCTTACAAAGTGAGAAACATAATTAAATTCAGTGAAACCTCCATGCGTACATCATAACACTTCCTCCTTGTCCTTTATATTCTGCCCCTAATTCTGACCAGCATTAACACAGCAGCATCCCCCAGTGGTGGCTCTGTGTTACTGTAGAACAGCTCCTTAAAGGTCTGCAGTCCCACTGTTCTCCTGTATAATCATTCCATCTACATTATACCTGCTACATTAAGATATGTTTCATAAGAAAACGTGCTAAATTGTAAATCTCGACCTCTTTCTCTCAGTTCTCTCAGAGACAACAGATTCGACTGAGGAGGAGTGGCAGTCCATCGCTGACCTGGCCACCGCCTGCCGCAGCATCCTGGAGGCTTTGTCACGAGAGGGTGAGGAACTAATTATTCATGCACCCCTTACTTAGTGTGAACATAAAATGATGCATCAAGCTGTAGCACAGTCAAATACCAAGAGGTACATGGATTTTTCTCCCTGTGTTTATCTCCACAGTCTTAAGATTCAAGTTAGATAGACACTAAGTTTTTGTGTAAAAGTAACTGTAATGTTTACTGACATTTACACTATGTGACCAAAAGTATGTTGACACCTGCTACACCATACAGTGATATTTTAGACAATAGTGTGCTTCCAGCTTTGTGGCCACAGAGCCCCATCCAACACCTTCGGGATGAACTGGAACACCGCCTGTGAACCAGGCCTCATCACCCAACATCAGTGTCCGACCTCACTGATGCTCTTGTGACTGAATAAAATCTTGCAGACTGCAGGCTGTTAGAGCAGCAATCACATATGGGTCCAGGTGTTCGCATTCTTTTGGTCATATAATCTATATTGGAGAAAAACAAAACAGAGAGGACTTTTCCAATGGATCTGCACTCTATATGAAGAAAAGGTGCTTTTGGAGGTGTTTAAATGACTCCATTTTCGCTACAGAGTATCTCCCATCTTTGTCTCCCTCATCTCTACTTGTGATTGTTGTGTGTATGGCTATTTTAAACAGCAATCATTTTCCTTACCACAGACCGTAAAGCCGCAGACCCCTCCCAAGCAGGAGACCAGACAGACGGCAAGCTGAAAGACTCAAAGGAAAGGTGGGTTGCTACACGGTACATAGAGGGTGAAGCAGACAGTTCAATATCTCTGTGGTTAGTCTCATTTTGCCTGAATTGCACACATTCCTTTATTCTACATCTACTTCTTCATTCTCTCTCAATTATTTAGACTTTATCGGCTACATCCAACTGTTTGAGTCAATGCGATGGCTTCTCTCCCCCATAAAGAGAGCCCTTGTGCTGACTCAGTGATGCACTTATGTGCATGATGCAGATGCTCTCACACACACACACACACACACACACAGCATGTCTGACTCACTGTCATTGTCATCTTTCTGTAAAACTCCCACTCCATAATCCATTTTCTTTACTTTTATACTTTTTCCAGCTCCTTGGTCACCTTATTTTTCTCTATGCTGTGTTTGAACACATAAATTATTGGCAAAGTGAGTCAATTAGAAAATAAGCAAACGTCAACATAAAGCTTTTCTTCAGTTCAGGTCTCTCGTATTTACAGGCGCAGTTTATGTCCACCCACGTACTGTAGAGGTCAGCATTGATGACTATTTCACCATTAGATTTGGTTCCAGCTGGCATGCAAAATGCTTAAAAAAGACATTAGTACAATACTCCATATATTGTACTGCATCACTTCTTGTTGGTGTGTATTTCTGAGACTGAACATGCAAATTGCAATAATTATCACATTATAACATTATCACTTACACAATACACTACTAGGCCCGAATCATTTAATGAAGCATGGGACCATGCTTCATTAAATGATCCCATGTTCTTTCCTTCAAAAGTATTATCATGATTTATACATTATCAGGAGTTCTGTGCTTTGCTCTGTAGGGCGTAGCCAATAAGTTATGACTGCAGTCAAATGAAGCGCATCATGGGATGATTATACTTGCTCACAATGTGTCTGCTTGTCAGCCGTAGCAAATTTTGTAAATCCATCTCTAAGTATTACAGGTTTCATCAAAGGCAGCAGTCTTGAGCTCTGAGGTTGCCACAGTGACGGACGGCTCCACAGCCAATCAAGAAAATTGAAAAGTTCACTCTGTGTGAGATAACGTGCGGCGTTATAACAGACAGAAGAAACACAAGAAAAACCTTTTTATAGAACGATATCAGTGAAGATATTCATCTTGTCGATTCATTGCATGTAAATCTAAACCATTTTGATCCTCGGTTTCTATTCCTGCTTCATGTTTCCTGATCGCAAACTGTGAAAATTGTAATTGCTTTTGACGAAGTGTCACTGCCTCTCTTTGTTGCAGTGACTCTCCAGGCCACCTAGAAGAGAAGGTATCGCAGCTGGAAGCCATGCTGAGGAAGCTGCAGGATGACCTGCAAAAGGTGCTTTGACTTTCATGAATCTTTTTCTCTGTAATATTATTCTCATTGAGCTCCACTGGAGAGTCAGCAGGTAGGAAAAAATATTTAAATTGTTTAGCTTCAGTCGCCGGAGCGAGATCATCTGTATTTTCTGATGCAGCCTCTTGTTTATTTGTACAAATCCTCCCCGTCCATCCGACCATCTCAAGTCACAGCTGACTCACTGTAGATGCATTAAATACAAAGACACTCAGAAAATTTATTTATTCATAATTTTGTTGTAAATTTGTACAGTAACATTTACAGATTCTTTGAATATTCCACTATCATAGTTTTTAAAAATGTATTTATGAGTCCTTCAATGCTATTATCAATATTTTCTAGTATTTTCCTCTTTCCATAATTCTGTGTTGCTATGTTTATTTTTCATGTAGATGTCAAAGAATACTGTATGTGATGACTTCGAAGGCTTATTCTCGACCTCGGCCACTTGACAAAAAAACGATTCTCAACACAAGGTCCACTCTTTCCAAAGCTTTCAACCACATCTCATGTCCTTCCTCAGCAGATGAGAGGAGAGGACCTTGTGTTGAGGATTTTTGGTCAATAGTGTATGTGTCTCTGTGTGTACAAAATATTATATAAACATATTATTCCCCACTTATATGGAACGTTTTCTATTTATTTTTAGGACTACAACTATACTATTTTCATGACTGATTCATCTAATAAATAATTTTCTGATCAAATATTTAGTCTATGAACCATTAAGAGTAATGATACAATACTAATTTAGTGCTAAAACAATTAAACAACAGAAAATTAATCAGCATCAGTTTTGATAAATGTTTAATTGTTTATGTACTTTATGAAGAAAACATGAAACATTCTCTGGTTCCAGCTTCTAAAGTGTGAAGAGTTGCTTATTTTCTCTTTTTTATTTGACGGCTTATTGAATATCTTTGGGTTTTAGGCTGTTGGTCAAACAGAACAAGCAACTTAAAGACGCTACCTTGGGCAATTGTTATGGGCATTTTTCACTATTTTTTTTTTTACATTTTATAGTTAAATGATTATTAAAACCAAAGAAAATAATGATTAATTGTACTGTACATACCAGCAGCCTGAAAACCCAGGCATTTAGATTCTGAACTCTCATTTTCTGTCAAAGAAATGAACCGTTCAGTGACTAATTGTTTTTTTTTCCTGCACTGCAGTGAGATGTGCTTCTCTACACTGTCTGTGTTGTTTTATTTCAAGATCTTTGTTTATGTGTGCCCACTAGTTTCCTTAAAGCCACCGCTGTACCTGTCGCTCCCCTCCCGTTCCTGCCACAGCGATCTGAGCGACGGCTTTTGTTTTGTTGTGTGCCGATGTCTTTCAGGAGAAAGAGGACAAGGCGGTGCTGCAGGCCGAGGTGCAGAGCCTCAGGCAGAACAACCAGCGGCTGCAGGAGGAGTCGCAGAGCACAGTGGCTCGCCTCATCAAAGTCACCGAGCTGCTGTGCAACGTCAACAAGCCCTGTTAGCTTCACCACAGCACGCACAAACACACAAATCAGCAGAAAGAAAGATGCAAATCGTACAATGTGCTTGTACGCTCAGTACACTTATTTTGTTCGTACATATTTGCAAAACCAGACACACACACACACGTATCCTCTTCAATCTGTGTATTACCACAGTCTCAGTCCTGAATCCTGGACGTGCCTGTTGGTGAGGGAGTATGCAAATCAACTCATACAAAAGAAAAAAAAAAGACATTTTCAGTATCCCTTCATAGACTGACCAATGTGCAGCTCTCAGGCTGCTGTGTTGGTGTGCTATGCCAGAGTGCTTCTCTTGGTGTGTATGATACAGTATATGCGTGGGTGTGCGTGTGCGTCTGTATGTGTGCATCTCTTACTGTACCTTGCTTCAAATACTTGACAAGCTGGGCTGAATAGCACTTGCATAAAAAGTGGCAATTAAGACTGAGAGACACTGTATAGCATGTTTGGTGGTGTCTTATCTGAAATGACCAAAAGTGTATATATATATCACCAATAATATATGTGAACAGTAGTATTGCTATCCTCTCTGCCAGACATGTAGTTGCAATGTCTGAGTGTGGTTCTGCCTGGCGCTGATCAGTGTGGAAGGCCTTGAAACAACAACAAGCCTGAAGGCCGCCTTCTACTTCAAAACATGTAGTGATGCTAAGTGACTCGCTTCAGAGCAGGGTCTGTTACATAAGGACATCATTTTCTGCCCTCTTCACTTCTCAGTAGTACTGTATTTAAGAAATTCTGCAGTTTTTAGGGAGAGATTTAAAAAAAAACATAAATGAAAAGGACATAAACTGGAAATGTCCATAAAAAATGAACTGAGCATGCTTGTTCCTCCTGGAAGTATGTATGAAAACAATATTAAAGAGATGCCGAAAAGGGTCATACCTCTCCTGAAGACACAGACAATGGCAGGAAAGAACTGCTTCAGCTTCCTTCCATGATAGCCTGTAGCTGTTTTCTTCTAACCTCACTATTGTAGCAGCCATACTGTAGAAGATCTCCTCCTGCTGGCCTGAACCACAAAATGCCAAAAGGCAGCTTTTCTTTCAGCTGGCAAAATAGCTTTAGGTGTCTGAATAAAACACCTTGAACTAATAGTGAAATACAGAATATTGTATTTAAATATGTTTTGTGTTTGGCGGATGTCTACAGTGACTATTTTGGGTAATTGTTTAGTATGGCTTATGAGTGGTAGCGGTAAGGACAATAGGTGAAATCTTACCATTCCACCCTGATGTGTGTTTGTGTGTGTTTAAGTGTCGTTTTTGCACTTTCTTTTTTTGTGAAATCAGCACAGGACAGGGCACATACTGTACTTTATTTAGTCTGCCCAGGTTATGTCTTGCCCATCATATGAAGGTGGATAAGATCTCATCTCCCTGACACCACCTTACCTCACCTTTTTGTGTCCCCTGCTGACGGCGCCAATAAACATACAGAGGAGTTCGGACTGCTTCTCCTCAGTGCCAACAGAAAAAGCCCAGGCAGCTCTCCCGAATCCCACAGAAATCAAACAGAACTGACTCGACCACAAACTAAAAAAAGAAACTCTGACAAAAAGGGATGCCAAACGTTCGCCAGTCACTCAGACTCTCTTGTTTTCGTGTACAAACTTCCTCTTGTAATTTTATTTTAGAGTCACTGTGAATACCTGGTACCAGCATATTAAGATACAGTATATTCAGATTAAATTATGAATCTAAACTTTATCAGTATGTGAAGATACTGTATGTACAGCTGAACTGTTCCATGTTACTTAGTGCATTGGGTTGTGTATGCCCTCCTTTTGCAGGATGATTATGCAGACAAGTGTTAATCGTGGCCATGCAGGCTCCTGTTTCATCTCCTGTACATGCTGAAGCCTCGTGACTGAACAGGGAAAAATTGGTGTGAGAAGACCTGTTTTACTGTGTCTTGTATAGTTATTTTAGATTGTAGGAGGTTGGTCAAGCATGAGAATGTGCCAAGCAACTTCCAAGCTCCCCTCTGTATGTGTGTATGTATAAAAATGTAACTTATTAATCATGCAAATGTGGATTTTCTTGTAGCTGTTTAAACTGGAGGGAAGTCTCGAAAAATGTGAAATAGGGCAGAAAGGAAAGGTGGGCTTGGTTATAAATTTAAGTTTCTTTTGTAGAAAACCAACAATGACATGACAAGAAAAAAAACTATCTGCAAATCTTGCTTAATGTGACTCTTATTATCATTCTAGTTTTGAGCTATTTCAGCTATAGCTCTTACATATTTAATAAGGTCTTAAAACACCATTAGGTACGCCTTAATGAGTGAAACTCCTCTTTCAGAATGGATGGTCAAACTGGTCATACTGGTGTTATGTGAAGGCTTATTTCTCTGACTTTGTGCCTACCTGAAAATGTAATGTATGTTAACCCAGCATAGTGACCTCATTTCTTTGTCTTTGGTTGCACTTACTGAGGTTTTTTTTTTTGTGGCAGATGAAGGATTTTCTAAGAGACCTTTACAACATCTGGTCTTTCATCCGCCGTGCGAGGAAAAGTCATGATCTGAAAGAACAGATAATATTAATAGATGTGTGTTGTTGGTCTGAAGAATCACTGAAGCTCAATGAGTACCACCGATTGTTCACAGAATCAAACCGACAAATATATGATTTTTAAAAGTGAATTAAAAGGAAAAAGGTGCTTAAAATGACTGATGATGCATCGAAATCGAGTTTAAGTTGAAATGAATGTGTTGAATGGCGTATGCTTCCTCTAAGGGATGATTATTTTGGTATTTAAATATTTAAAAAATAAATTGTCTCCAAAATCCAACAGAGTATTTGAAAAGAAAATCTGATTGTGGCTGAATGACCTAAAATGGACAGAAGGGAATTGATCAGAAGCGATTGTGGGAGATGTTTATCATTCTGTTTTGGTTGAAGATAAACAACAACAAAAAACAAAAAAAACACAGATAGCTGGAATCTGAGAATGTGATTTAGTTCAAAATTCTTTAAATCTTTACTCTCCAACGTAGATGGCAGAAAACACAAAGGTTCACAAAACAACATCACTGTTAAAATGTGTTTTAACTGTAATTTGACAGATTTTCACAGTAGCACTGCACAGCATAAGATAAATGCCAAGTTATTAGTATTATTTTATGGATTTGCATGAGTCTTTAGCAGTTACATTCTATTGTGAAATTATAGTGTTCAATGCACAAAGGAAACATGGGAATATCCCCCCCAATAGAGGACAGACAGGAGTGGGGGGNNNNGGGGGGGGGGGGGGGGGGGTCTTGGAAGAGCCGGATGGATTTGTCCAGAAGCGGAACGAATGAGGATTTCACATCCTGGACTGGACTCTGATGAACACAAGAGGTGGAGGTTAAAGCAGCCCAGGAAGAAACTGTTTTAAGGTTCTGACATGATTTGTCTCAGACAGAGGTCATGGCCAAATCAGATTGGCTGAAAAGAATAGAAAGTAAAAGTCGTAGAATGAAAGCACCAGAAATATGTATAAACATAATCTGACTCACAATGTCCTACATGGGAAACAGCACGATCCTACGAGACTTCTGTTGTAATTGAACCAGCAAAAGGATAAGTAATATTTTAAATATTGCTTCTATTTGTATGGGGAAATAAAATATTGTTTTTGGTATATAAGGGAGACACTATGATTGAGGTAATTGGAAATTATTTGATTTTTACTCAAGATCTGCATTTACATCTCCAAACACACAATGTAGAGAAAAGCAAATAGCTGTCGTGATATGAATTTGGTAAAAAGTTGTGGTAAATGTTACAGTTAACTGCATTTATACTGTAACAGTGGTTCTCTAGTACTACTAAGTGAGTTTATGTCATACCAGCTGGTTGTTTGCAGTTGTTCCAGGTGTAAATCAATTCCACAGCTGAAATGAAACCCAGCTCTGAGAAGCAGATTAAAAAACACTCATCTCTTCACAATCAAACTGCTTCATGTTCTAAATCTGGTTTGTGGTCGTTGCATGAAACATGAAAAACATTTGAATCAGCTTTTAATTTAAATGTATTTGCAGCTGAATGCGGCTCATAAGCCGATGATTTATGTGCCTGAACGATCTTTGCTTTCAAAGGAATTTGACAAGACTTTAAGGGAAAGCATCACTGATTTGAATAAGAGATCGCTTTAACTGTTGTGAATGGGGTTGACAATTGATTTAATCTCAAGGCTATCAGGGCTAAAACAGTGTCAGCAACTACTGATGCGAAGGATTATTAGGTCTTAAGTGCTGTAGGTGGCCGGAAAATATGTGTTGACGTTGAAAGTATTATTTTAAAAATGGAAGCTCTGTGGCCACCACACATCTCCAAGAAACAGACAGTTTAACTTCCTGTTTGTCACTAAGATCAACTGAGCAAGCATGGTGCGGTGACAAGCTCGGTCCCTGACCCTTCAAAACTCCCTCAGAGCGATATTGGCTGCACGGCGCAGCTTTGTTTATCGAGATAGTCTCTGTCATTTAACATCCTACAGGGAACTGAAAAATGCTGACAGAGAAAACTGGAGAACCTCTTCAGTTCAATCTGGTTCATGTTATTTATTTATTAATTATTAGGCCATAATCACACAATCATGATGGTTATTATTACACTTTCTTACACCATATGTCACGCTTTAACTCTTGACTTTAAATGTCTCCACAGAAAACACAAAATGCTAACGTTTTCAGTAGGTTTTAGGTTTGCAACGTTCACCATCTTAGTTTAGCATGCTAACATTTGCTAATTAGCACAAAGCATAAAGTGCAGTTAAAGCTGATGAGAATGTCAACACAAACAAAGATTTTGACCCGATATAAATCTATTTGAAAAGTTAAAGGGTCACCAATGTGATAACAATCCCTGAGGGGAAATTAATTTGTGTACCTCATTTTATGTGCGGGTAAATCCATCCGGCAGTTGTTGGGACATTTCACTCAAGACATTAAATGTCAACCTCATGCATGCGCTAGAGGGAAAAGTCCAAAAATCAAAGTCATTGTATTCATCAAGATATAAAAGTAAAACCGGCCTGTACACACACGTGGAGATTTCAAGTGCGATGATACAGATTTAAAAAAGTTTGATTGGATGCACATTCCCTTCCCCCTGGATTGATACAGCATGAGGTAAGACAAATACACTTTCCAAAGCTTGTTCCATGAACATAATACAGCAAGACAACATCATACAAACATTTCCCAGGAGTCTGTCCTCTGGAAGGCTTTCCTAAACACAAGCCACAGAAAAACGCTTCATCTTCCCTACCCTGACAACAGGAGGAGGACTGATGACAACAATGCGCCGGCCTATGTCTTTATTTGGGGTTGGAGCGCACAACGGAGTCTTCACTAGGGGCTATGTGTCACACACAGCTCAAGGGCTTAACGCCAGTTTGACTCATCCGTGTTCTGTAAATACAGAGGCCATGTGCTGGTGCTTGTGTTTAGACTCCTGGTTCACAGGGTTGTATATTGTAATTTAAATCACCAGGCCGCTGTTGCACCACACACAAGCAAATGAGGCCTAATGCAAGTTTGCCTGTAACATCACTGCTGTGTTGACTGTCCTGACAACACTTAACATGAATCAGATGTCATTGGTTTGATTAATATTACTCATCAACTGATATAAATATAATAACCTTTTAGATAAATATTTTACCCAAGAGGTTCTCTAATGTTTAGAAGTACACCCAATAGTTTATTTGTCCACCCTAACCTACGAATTACATTTCCTTTTGGGGAAATACTAAACGTTTGGTTTCAGTGCATGTAGAATAAAATCAAAATGGACATAACTTTTAACAAACTATTAAAACAAAGTCAAAAACTGGAACAAATTAAACCTCTGTCCCTGACATTGATGCACTCCTATGCAACACGCTACATGTTCAACACATGTGGGGAAATTTTTTTTGTAAGATTGGCATGCAACCTGTTAATAAGTGATGCACCTCCTACAACAAACCATGCAAGTCAATGATAAACTAATCCATCATAAACTCTGCAGTTAAACAATAAAGAATGAAAAACACCAGAACATCGCAGGCTTACCGCTGTTATATGAGGCTCCTTTCACTTTTTTATTTGACTTTTCTGAAGTTAAGGTATTTTTTAAGGGCTTAATTTTTTAATAGAAGACATTAGCCAGACTACTTCTACTGTACAGTACATGCACTTTTACGCAAAAGGGTTTGTGTACTTTCTGGGAAACTGGCAGGTGGATTATTAGCAGACAGCACTGCAGCAGTGTTTCTTAATCTTCACCCTGTTTCTGGAAGGTCTCCGTGTGACAAGTGGTCTTTGTTTCCCAAAACAGACAGCAGGGCAGTCCCCTCACTTTTAGCATTTTTATTTAGCAATAATTCAAGAGATGGGGATGACAAAATAAGACACAAAGGAAAACATAAAGAGAAATAACCTATAGAAGATTAGTAGCGTAAGATATACCTCTTAACATATTTTCCTTTTTTTCTTTAAGGCTTTAAAAGTATTTTTTCTCTATATAGAAAGAAATAATTTCACTCTACTGACAGAGTGTCCATGTGTTCATGTTAATAATAATGACACTATATTAAGTCATTTGTCAGGAAATGCATTTTCTGGCAGCTCACAGGAGTAGGGAAGCTTTAAAATCTCCTGCTGGGTGCAGGTGGACACAAGAAAAGCAACATACAAATGTATCATTGAATCAGTATCTCTCAGTCAGTCTCAACCATTGACAGTATATAGGTTCACACTTCTCAACATCATACTATATTACAGGATTTGTATTTCTATTACTTTATTACCCTCTCCCATCCTCATCACCTTATATCAGGATGCTGTTGAAAGTATCCTGGCCAGCCGTATTACTAACTGGTACCAGTCTGGAGACCCTACAGTGAGGACAGCCGAGGGGATCTTTGAG